TTTCAGCATCTAAGAATAGTCTAAGTTGATACTGGTAAACAAAAACAAAAAGAATTGATTAAAAACATCCGGTTAATAGATAAAATTTTAAAAAATATTATAGATTAAAAATTATCGACACTATATAAATTAAAGTAATTTCATACAATTTTAGTAATAAGTTGGGGTAGCCAAAATACATTCGTAACATTAATTGATAGATGTTTAAATCCATAGAAATGATGAAACACTATAATATTATACCTTAGAATTAATTGATTTTAATTTAGAAGCTTTAATCTTTGACGTTAATAATATTTATAGGGTAAAAGAATACAAGGAATTACATATGGAGAAACTATTAGAATATTTAGAGATAACTTTAAAAGAATTGAGTTATTTCCATTGCAAATAGGAAAGTGATGGAAATAAATCTAAAATTCAGAAAACGTCAATGAATCACTTGAATTGGCATTAACATAAGACATATCTATTAATGAAGCACTGAATGAGTTACATTAAAAAATAATTTAATAACTTTATCCTAATCAAAGAAAAAATCTCCATGGAAGACATAAGAAAAATTAGTAAGTATTCATAAATTCCATACTGTGTTCTTCAAATTAAATATTAATATTATAATCTAAGAGAAATTGGTAATGAATAATGCAGATATTTAGTTTATATCTTTATGAAAAATAACAGGGATAGAGCAAATGTAATATTATTGAAATAACAGAAATTCTTATTGGATGCATATCAGAAGAATTTATTTTAGAGGAAAATAAAGAGATAGCTTCTAATTTATTTAAGTAATAAATTAGGAACACAAAGAATTTTATATATATGAAATTAATATTTATTCTCATTGAAATAGAAAAAAAATCAAAGTCTATATTTTGAGCAGTTTGTGTTGAACATCATAAGTACATTTGACTTCTTTGTAAAGTTAAATGAGATGATAAAAAATTAACGAGCCTAGGAAAGATAATAGCATAAAAATACAAAATTAGCCTGATGTCACAATTGATGTAGATGATGAAGACAATACTCTAGAATTGTCTGAGAAATGATAAATGATAAACCTGAAGAAGGATTGATCTTAACTCAATAAAAAATAAAATAGAAGAAATAAAAACAATTTTTTTATAAATATTTTATAGAATAGTTTAATTATTTTGAGTGAAATTAGGAATCTTTAGAAGGGAGTTTCATGAATTTTTTTCAGTACTTTTATATTCTTATGTGAATGTTTTTATCATATAAAAGTATACTAGAGTTAGCATTAATCTTTAATTTATATTTTTTTATGAAGCCTATCAATGATTAGGAATAAACTTCATATTCTCTTTTGCATCGTTTTAACATACTTTAAATCAATCATTTTGCCATATTGGTTTTAAATATTCACCTTCCTTGTATAACACTATTTTAATATTTTTCACTTTGCAATGCTATACTTTCTCAAATAAAGCTTAGTTTCATATCGGTCAAAAATAATATGAAAATTCAAATTATTTTTAAATTATATTTGTTTTTTGTCAATTCAAATATCAACATGAAAATTTAAATTGGGTGTATCCCATTTAAACAAACATAAAAAAATAATCGGGATGTAAGAGTTTAAAGAAAAAAATGAGCACAAACTGCCAAAAATACTTAATCATGGTATTAAATCACGTGCATTGCACGTGTGTAAAAACTAGTATGAAAAAAAATATGAGTTGACAACCCATTTCGTAAAAATGGGCTACAGTTCAATGTCATATGGGTCCTCCTGCTAGTCACATCTGGGTGGAGCTCACATGGCACTAAGCTGGCAGCTCATTTTGCAAAATGAGTTGCCAACTCATACCCAATATCATATATATACACACGCATATGTTTATGTATATATCTGTATTATATGTATTGTATTACAATATTATAATATATCATTGGTGCCAGGAATGCTTGAGGTGGGAGGGTATATTGGTCATGAAAAGTCCTATATTCTTAATACTAGAGGATTGTGAAACTACCTACTATACATTTTAGGATTAGAGGAAAATCCTAATCTCATTGTGTCTCAATCTCACGCAAACAAGCCATGAGCATTGATTGAAATCTAGAGACAGAGAAATTCCAATTATTTTTTGGTTTTTAAAAATCATATATTTTTATTTTTTTGATTTGTAAAGTAAATTGATGGTTAATTTATTTAATTTTGAATTTAATACTTAAGATCGTAATTTATCTAAGAAAAACCTTACCACCCAAACTATCTACTTTAACAGATGAAAAAGCTCACACTCTTCTTCTGATAACATAGCAAAATGATGTACATTTTTTCACAAATATTTAATGTATTAGTTAATTGATGATCGGTGAGCTATGGTCTAAAAAAAATTACCAATTATCTATCTTAATTATACTAGGATAGCTTAATATATTTTAAGAGTGCATAAATAAATCGAAGGATAGAAATTAAAATAATCGGTGCAAGCACGGGCTTAATAATTATTTAAAGTTATGTGATACGTGTCCAAAAAATACTCTCTCTTATATATATATAATATGTGTGTGTATACTCTCTCTCTTAGTATATATGTATATATAAGTATACTCTCTCTTATATAAGTATACTCTCTCTTATATAAGTATATATAAGTATACACTCTCTTATATATGTATAATATATGTGTGTGTGTATATATATACTCTCTCTCTTAGTATATATGTATATATAAGTATACTCTCTCTTATATATATGTATACTCCCTCTTATATAAGTATACTCTCTCTTATATATGTATAATATGTGTGTGTGTGTGTGTATACCCTCTCTCTTAGTATATAAGTATATATAAGTATAGTATATTACAACGACTATTTCTTCCCCATTGGCCCAACAGGTAACGACTACTTATGCGATTCTCTCTCTCAAGTTATAACTTATAAATATATACAATATATTTACATATAATATATGTATAAATAATATATAGTTACATAATAATTTGTAAGTATATACTAATACATAATTATATAAAATATAATAATGTTAAACTAATTTTTAGCATTTTTTATTAAAAAAAGAAAAGAAAAGAAATTTAAAAAAAAACTAGTTGGGATGTACTTATCTATTGTGATGCGATGAATTCCAAAATAAATTTATACTTGTAATTTGTAAATGATTTATTAATTATTAATAAAAAAATTTATTTTTATAATTTTTTATTTGTAATTTATGTCATTTCAAGTGATTAATAAAATTATTGTTTTTTAGTAAAAAATTTTGTTTTTTTAGTTAATTTAAATTTTAAATAGAATAAAAAAAACCGGGCCGGCTCGGAACCCGGCCCGGGGTACCCGGGTCCGGGCACCGGTTTTGCCCGGCCCGGGCTCCGGTTTTGCCCGGTCCGGACCGGCCCGGATGGACAGGTCTAATACGTGCACGTCGTCATCTGGGGACGCTTTCTTTTTGACTTGCAAAAGGATGGCAAAGTCACGAAGATTTTGGAGAAGCAGAAAATTTAGGTAAATGACAACACAACGGAGTCTTTGTAACCATCAATTTTTCTTTATTAAAAGTAGTAGCAGACATTTGATGTCAGTTTTCAGTGGTCATGCTTTAAAGAAACAATGATTCATTATTCTTTGAAGCAAAGTCGTGTTTACAAAGATATCCGAGTAACGATGCAGATATTGACGGAATCTTTAGACATGTAGATATTTTCGTAATGTGCAAACATAAACGATTATCCTAATGTTTAATAATCTGATTGATCTTAGACCTTTAATTTTGTGCTAACTGTACGCCTTTAAGAAAATAATCATATTGCAAAGCTGAAGCCTGAAATCAGAGCAACAATTTTGCCCATGTTGAACTTCTAGTATTGAAGTCATTTCAGATACTTGTGGGTTGTTTGAACTTCATTTTAGCTCATTTCTTGCTTGACGGCGTTTATACATGCTCTGTTTTGATAAGTAATTAAATTAAAAAGAAAGAACGTTTATTTATTTTATTTATATTACTATATAAGCTTAATTTACATCAAGAAAAAGTATTACTATAACAGCTGACCTGTTCTGAATTTCAATTGTTATGTTTACTTTTCACTACGATTGCAAAGTTTCAATGCTCACTAAAAAATTATTTCACTAATAGTTAACTCTTCATACTAAAAAAAACAAGTATGAAACTACTAATTACAAAAACCCAGTCCCAATATTCATAAGCATATCGATCAGTCAGTCAAGCCAAATAAAGCGCAAACAATCTAAATTGTAGTATGGCTGAACTTAAACTCAATCTTGAGATTTAGAAAACACAGACAACCTTCATCAAAATGTTAAAAAAAAAAAAAGAAATTCTCCAAAAATTGAAAAGATATGTATGAACATTTTCATCAGGCCCACTTAGCCAACAAAGACATCAATCCTGCTCCTACTAAAAGCGAGACATTAACGGCTACTTGAAGAATTCCTTTACCCTGAACCTTAGGGTTCATAAAATCTGCAGCAAGAAGATCGACGAGTGCCATATAAATCAAAATTCCTGCAGCTGCTGCATTAAGAATGCCTTCAACAATGAGAGCAGTTGGGCTGTTTTCATTATACACTGATGATATCCCTATGCCTATAGCAATTCCTACAGGTGTTGTGAGAGAGAAAAATAGAATCATTATAGCCATTGACCGAGCTTTGAATTTTGCCTGCAAAACGTAGGAAATAATAGCATTTTCCTCAATTAGTATGCAAATAGAAAAGATAATACATTGTTTAAAGGAAAAATATCTCAATTAGTAAAACAGTAAAGTTGTTTAAGGGAGTATTCTGCTTTTTCTAAAGTTCAAACCTGAGGACTATATTAGGCATCCAAATCCCTGTTCATCTCTGCCTTACATTATGTTAAAACTATAAGTTTGTAAAGGGGACCTTCAAGCATATGTTTAATTAAGAACAAGGACTACCTAAAATTTAAGAATCAAGCATCCTTGACTAACATTTCGATGTAGTTTTCCGTGGTCATGCTTGCACCTTGATATTCCTCAGAAGTTTGAAACAAATTTGTCTCTCATGAAAAGCAATTTTTTTATTTTTTATTATTTTTTTTTTTGGTGGTGGTGGGTAGTCTTTAGAATATTAGTCTATGCTAGATTATGTTAAAGAGAAAATACTTTACACCAAATGAAATCTTCAGATATAAAAGTTTTTTCAATAATAAGTACATAATTCTGGGCTTCAAGTTTTGACTGGAACTAGAAACCAGATGCTTCACTTTGTTCTAATTCGTTAAACAAAAAGAAATGTTTATTAATTCAGTAGAAAAACCATTAGAAATTCTGCCAAACTACAATAATTATTACTTATTTCGTCCAGCAGTCGAATCTTTTAATTCTTAGTGACCTTGCAGCCTGAGGAACTATCAAGAGCTGATCTTGCCAGGTTCTTCTGTTAATTTCTATTGTGCTACAAAGCAAATCGTCTTATAATTATATGCTAAAAGAATTTTTCTGTGAGATGACTCGTAAACACAGGAAATGGAATAAGAAATCAGCTAGCAAATTCCAAATATTTTGATAATCTTTATAGTTATTTATGAATCAATACCTGCACTACGCATCCTTCAAGACCTGTACCCTCAAAAAACTGATGAAATGTCAGAGCAGCGACAAGAGGTCTTATAGTTGAGGGGCTCTCCGATGCACCCAATGATATTCCAATAATTACAGAATGAACAACAATACCCAATTCAAGAACCTGCACATATTTCACAAAAAATTGCCAAAACTATTGATCACTAATTATGAAAACCTGACATGCTTAAAACAAAGGGTATGTTAACAAGCAGAAAGTTTAAGCCATGATAATAACTGAGACCATGATAATTACTGATTTAGACAAATAGCTGAATCGATTAATATGAATTATCCCTTACATTCTCACTTTTATGTCATGTTGGAGTGTATCAAACTGTCAATACTTAGAAAAAGATTCAAATAGGAATTTTCTTCACAAATTATTGGTGGTTTACGGATATATTGTATTTTGGATGTATTTCTTTGTTCTTGATCTTGTGTATTTCATTATCCTACACCTTTTATTTGAAAAACGAAACGAAAGGCTAAAGTTGGTAAGATCAAGGTTAGTTGAAATTGGAAGCTCTAACTACATGCAATAGTCAACAAGGGGACAAAAGAATTAACATCATGGCGGCCATAATTAAATCAGTAAGAGATACAAAAATCTTTTTTCTTTTTTACTTTACAAGCAACAAACTTGAAAGTTGACTAACGAATAGTACATAGCATCTTGATTCACTTGCAGTGTGTCTCCCTTATGTGCACATACTTAAATAATTCATACAGCAACATATATCTGCAATTAAGTCTTAATATAATTTTCGCTTCGAGCAAACAAGTAAATATGATGCAAAAGTGAAGGATTTTCAAGGTTTCAAGTTTTTGTTTACATAAAAAATAATCCGAAACCATCAAATCTAATTAAAACTACAATTAATAGAGAAATTTTCCACACCCCTTTTCTTGCCTAAGAACAATCTTCCCCCTTTATTAATAGATAAAATCCAAACAAATTAAGCATTTCTTTCTAATAAATAAAATACCCAATGAAATCTTGATTAGTAATTCCAAAGATTAATAGGCTTTATCAATTAACGCAAAGTTAAAGGCATTCATCAAGAGCATTCTGATGAAATTACCACGAAGTTTTAAAAAGAGCTATTAGAAATAGAGTATGTATGTGCTCACCTGAGAAATAACCCGATGCCGGATCAACTCCGACGATCCATCACCACCAGGAACACTCCCATGAGCGTGCCCGTGCCCGGCGTGAGTGTGCACGTGCACATGCTCCTCATGCATGTGCACATTGTTGGGAATTTATCAAATAAATAAAGATTATAGCATGAATTTAAACCCGAAAATTAAATAAATAATACATCAAAGATAGATAAATTAGAGAAACAGGCCTGACGGGAGCAGTCGTGTAAACACTGCCCTAGAAGATTGAGGACCCGCTTATCGCCCTGGCGCAGATGATCCCTTCTCCCCTAGCGGTAAAAACCCCCGGAAACGGCCCGGCCTCTGCACTCGGGCGAGAGTGCAGAGCTTCAGCTCAGATGAAGAAGTTGCCCATAAAGTAAAACTAAAGTATAGATGAAAATGATATGTAGAGGAGAAAAGAAAACAAGATAAGTTTTCACATTTTTTCTTCATATTTCTTGAGCTCAACATATGTTGTTTATATAGGGGTTGAAAAGAGCCGTTACAAAATCCCTCAATAAATTTCGTAACGTTCGTCATAATGTATAGTCATTATGCCCATTTTAATTACAAATTAAAACACATTAAAATATATTTTAATTGCATATTTTAATTACAAAAATTTATTAGAATTTATTAAGGCAAAATTGCCTTTTCTTTAAAAATATCCAACAGTCCCCCCCAAAAGGTAATATTGACTGAAAACTTAAAAATCAATAAATAAATTAATAAATCACAAAATGAAAATAGGTTGGGCAACCTATCGTATCGTGAATTCGGGAAAGGTAGCTTTCGGCTTTGAACCTTTCCTTAGTGAGTTCATCGCCACCTGAGGGACATAATGGACTAGGCCTTGAATTAGGCCCCTTTAATCAGGTATTGATAAAAACACACACAATACGCTTCATCTATTGAGCAAAGCGGGTTGAGCGTTAAAGGCCATGCTCACAATAAACCGACTCATGAGAGTTTCTAGGGGTTAGCCCAGCCCCCCTAACCGCGGCCATCACGGTTCCTCTCACGTAGGTAAGTCCTCAAAGGGTACTACAGCTGTTTATTTAATACCCCCCACAATACACGCGTTGGACTTATTAAGAGTAAAACTCAGCCTAGCCAGCTGTATCATAAGAGCATCGTCATCATAGAGAAGGGGTAGTAGCAAATGCTACATAATGATATAAATATATCTAGGTCGATGCTCCACACGAGTGTCACTAGTCCAGCTTGTTTCTACCACATTAAACCGACATTGGGACTACGTCTCCAAATAAGGGTTGGGTTGCCGCTGTCAGTGACCTCATCTATGGGCTTAACCCCATCTCCCTCGATGAATCCAGAATCACACTCCTGGATAATCCCTTAGTCAAAGGGTCATCAAAGATTCTTTTCACAGACTTTACAAAGTCTAGAATCATAACTTTGCCTAGCAGGCGTTGTATTTATTTATCAAGTTCTTATTTTGTAATTAGTCCATCATATTGTTTGAAATTGACATTAGGTCATGATCTATGATCATAAAAGATCATAGTCTATGTCTGAAGAGATTGACCTTAATATCTGAACATTTCAAACTAATGTGGAACTAAAAATTCTGCAGTTATGCATATGCACATACATGAATGAAATTAATAATAGATACATGCAGAGCATAATAGGATTTCGTATCTTAAAAAAATATTTTCGTATCTTAAAATGTATTTCATACTTCATAATTCAAATGCATAAAATTTTTAAATTATTCTATTATAAAAGGTTACAAATTGGTTGCCTACAAAGGAGACCGTCCAAATTTAAATCGGTTGCCTACAAATGAGACATTCCAAATTTAAATTGGTTGTCTACAAAGGAGACCTTCCAAATTTATGTTGCCATTTTCTAATACCACCTCTTATACAAATAATAATAATAATAATAATGATAATTGTTTCAAGTGCATTCTTGCATAAAACCTTGCAATTAATCATGTAACAAATGCAAGTTTTCAAAAAAACATATGAACATTTATTGCAATATCCATCATAATGCAATAAAAGAGATGGAATTTACATTTGAAGATTTGAAATATAATCCACCATATAAAATAGAATTTTAAAAAATGCACCACTTTAATTTGGTTCGCTCATATATTGATCATTTATCATTAGGTAAAATATGATGCACGAAGCGTAATTAAATAAATGCATATGAATTTTCACATAATTCCGGTTATCTTATTCCAAACCAAAAACTCCTAAAGTGAAAAGATTAAAGTTTTACTCGGGTAGTTAGCCAGGTAAGGATAGTAATAGAGGTTGATCAAAGATCAATTAAGTACCTCATTCCTTACAGAGCGCGTTACGCAACCCTTAAACCTTGCCTTAGACACCAACTAATCCAAGAAAACTTGAATCGGTTCACTCAATGAGTTTTTGTTCCTTAACAGTATATAGAAACTTTAAATTATTTCCTGCAAGCATTTAATTTGCCTAGCAACTATACTGCAAACATATGTTGGATAAGGCCGAGGAGGGGTTTACCTATTGATGTTCAAACCTCATGATTTTCATGTCTTGAGAGTAAAAACTCATCTGCTGCAGACAACTGCCACTTAAGTTGCTGAACAAATCTGCATTCACTTTTACCACCTTCTGTACTAAGCTTATTAGATGTATAAGCACTTCAAAGTATGGAATTATTAATAATAGAAGGTACCATATTGATAGCTTAAAGAAATGAAAGCATTAACTATATGCAAATGCAATTTTCAAAGCATCTATGCATCCAGAGTTTGTTCTCTTTATTCTTGTCAAAACCATGCATATGAAATTTTTTAAGAATAAAAATATACACTGCTGCAAATTTATAGCATGTTTCAAATGCGTGCATATTCACTAGCACAAGGGGATAAGGGTAGGTTTTAGATGATTCTAACAAATATAAACTAGGCTTTTAGAAACCAATAAAGGTTCTTTGATATTCGTAACTTACAATAATTATTGATTATAAACCAACTATAAGACAAATATAATTAACTGTTAAATTAAATTAACAGAAATATTTAGCTACAATTTTTTAATTATTAAATTTTTTTTTAATAACCAAAACTGTTTACATGAACAGTAACTTTTTAAATAAAATGAACAGTACCGTTTTCAAAAATATATGAACAGTAACATCATTTTTAAAATTAAACAGTAACGCCATTTTTTAAGAATGAACAGTAACGACATTTTTATAAATGAGCATTAACATTCTTAAAAATAAATAAATAGTAACGTTCTTTTTTTTTAAATGAACAGTAACATTCATTAAAATGAATGAACAGTAAACTTTTTTTAAAACATTAAAAACTGTTTAAAATGAACAGTAATGTTTTTTAAAATAAAATTAAAATCTGTTTTTTAATGAACAGTAAATTATTTATAATGAGCAACAATTCTGATTAAATTGCGAACAGTAATAGCAAATTTTTTTATAAAATTTTTTTTAATTCGGATGAACAGTACTATCTCAAATGAACAGTAACTTTAAAAATTATTTTTCCGGATTTAAATCAAAAGCTATAAATATTTCAATCTTCTGGACTGTTGGGAATTTATCAAATAAATAAAGATTATAGCATGAATTTAAACCCGAAAATTAAATAAATAATACATCAAAGATAGATAAATTAGAGAAACAGACCTGACGGGAGCAGTCGTGTAAACACTGCCCTAGAAGATTGAGGACCCGCCTATCGCCCTGGCGCAGATGATCCCTTCTCCCCTAGCGGTAAAAACCCCCGGAAACGGCCCGGCCTCTGCACTCGGGCGAGAGTGCAGAGCTTCAGCTCAGATGAAGAAGTTGCCCATAAAGTAAAACTAAAGTATAGATGAAAATGATATGTAGAGGAGAAAAGAAAACAAGATAAGTTTTCACATTTTTTCTTCATATTTCTTGAGCTCAACATATGTTGTTTATATAGGGGTTGAAAAGAGCCGTTACAAAATCCCTCAATAAATTTCGTAACGTTCGTCATAATGTATAGTCATTATGCCCATTTTAATTACAAATTAAAACACATTAAAACATATTTTAATTGCATATTTTAATTATAAAAATTTATTAGAATTTATTAAGGCAAAATTGTCTTTTCTTTAAAAATATCCAACAGCACATTGTCCTCAACATCCCCCTTCCCCTTTTGTCCATCATCAACTTTAAAATGCCTCCTATTAAAATACCCCGTCGCCAAACTATCCACCATCAGCGTCCCGATAGCCGCCACCATCGCAACAAACCCCGTAAACGGAAACTCCCCCCACGGCTTATCGCTCAGACACGGGGACGTCAAGTTCTCGAACGCATCAGGCAAGATGTGGATGAATCCGGTCGCCAATATAACACCCGCCGCAAACGCCTTCACCACAAAAAACACGTCGCGGTCAGGACGCATAGCTGGGACCCACTTCCCGAGGATCGGGATGCAGACTCCAATGAAACCGCCGATGAGGATGGAGAAGATTGCGGTGATCTTGAGGACGAGAGCCTCGTGCTTGTTGCGGTAAGAGGAGTCGTCAACGACAGAGCAGTCGCAGTCGGCGTGAGATTTAGAAAGGAGGAGGAAAAAGAAGAGGATGGTTAGGGTTTTCATTGTTGTTGGTTAAGAAAGAAAGAGAGAGAGGTTTTAGAGTTTTTGGAGGGGAGAGGGGGTTTATATAGTTAGGGAGGAGAGTATGATGACGGCATGGTAAAGGGCCTAGAATTTTGTCTGTTGATAACGTTAGGGAGGAGAGTAGATAATTACTTAGTTAGTTAGTTGGTTACTTTATTAAATAGGAGATAATTATGTAGTTAGTTAGTTGGTTACCTTATTTTTAGACCTGCACCTTTGGTGCTCCATGAAGAATTGTTGGGTACGTAAAGAATTCTGTGTTGAAGCTAATTCTAATGAATTTTTCATTCACGTGCGGTTGTTATCAAGTTGTCTTTAGGGGTCTATATTAGAACTCAATTGAGAGATTAGATCACTAAATGACGACATTAATTATGGAGACACTGAAATTATGAAACAAAAGTCAAAGACAGTTGTGATTTTTAAAGATTGCCGCAAATAATGGTAACGATTAATAGCATGCTCTTTTTAATCTTAATAAGTAACGTAACGGGTTCCCCTTTCTTCATCTAATGTAAAAAGACAAGATGCAAGAGTAAAATATGCAAAGGATATTTAGATTAAAACCCACTCCAATCTAAGTGAGATTTAGTTTTATTTTTTATTTATTTTTTTAAAGTTATGTCATATATGTGTATATGGTCATATATGTGTATATGGTTGTCTCGAGATACCAGTCCGTGGCATAAATATAAACCCAAAGGACATCAATCATTGAATTAGTTCACATATAAAGGGGTTCAATGTGTTAAAGATAGTAATATATATTCTCTTGATATCCTATCTTTTCTTTTAGGTAAGAAATAATCTTATATTAGCTAGTGTATTCTCTATTTTATTTTCTACTTCTATTGGCGCTTTTTCCATATTAAATTTCATCTTGTATGAATGCAGGTCATCATGCATGTATGAAATATCAAGCATTCTTTTACACTTATCATGGTATCAGAGTCATCTCCTTTATCCTAGAAACACCTCTTAACTTCTTCCTCGATCTCCGTGCTGTTGAGGGGTTTCTTCACGCTTCCCCTCAATGGTTTCAGCACCAGCTTCGACTCCTTTCCCTCATTACTATCTTACTCTCACCCAAATCGCCAACAAAATTCTAATCCTCGCTATTGTTACACCGGCAATTCTACATCATAACGCGTAGACTCTCTACATTCACCGACGGCCTAAATGCAGTCACTGCCCCTCCTCTTGCAACTGCAGGTTCTGACATCTTGTGACCATCATGCATGACCTCGATCACCATTCCACCGGCTTCAAGTCCTTTCCCTCTTTACGATGTTACTCTCGCCCAAACCGCTAACAAAATCCTAACTCTCATCGTTGTATCACCCATCGTCGATAACTCTACATCATAACGCGTAGACTCTCTCCATTCACTGGCGGCCTAGATGCGCTCACTGCCCCTCCTCTTGTGACTGCAGGTTCTGCCATCTTGTGACCACCATGCATAACCTCCAATCATCATTCCACCGGCTTCGACTCCTTTTCCTCATTACGACCTTATTCACACCCAAACCGCTAATAAAATCATAACCCACACCCTGGCAACCCTATATCACAACGTGTAGACTCTCCCTTCACTGGTGGCCTAGATCTTGTCACTACTCCTCCTCTCACAACTGTAGGTTCTGCCACCTCACAATCATCATGCATAACCTCCTATTGGACACTATGTAGTCTTTCAAGATTATGAAAATCGAAGTCGGCTGACTAGTTTTGGGATCTAATTTCACGGAGGAAAACAAAATTTTCATAAAATTTACATATATATTTGCAACCAATAGTATCAATAGCATTTAATTTCTATAACTTCTACTTACTATAGCAATTACAGTTTATTTCTTTAACTTTCATCAGTTATTACGAAAGTCAAATTATAGCCTTCTGAAAGTCATCAGATTGTAACTTTTATCATCGGTGTTTGATGAGGATCAGCTATCTATTGTGATTTTTAGACAACCTACAATTATCATCACTCATTGCAAATAAGAAAAATCACACGACAGTCCGGTTTATCGAAAAAACAAAGAACCTATAAGTTCTTCTCTAACTCCTGAAATACAAACCGAATACATGCAAAAATCAATCATATAAAAACATGTCCACTAAACACTTTTCAAAAAGCAATCCATAAAAATTTCACCCTGCTTTGGCAACTAATTCCCGCATTCAATTTTCGATTTTTTATCAATCAACAACGGACATTCTCTGATTTCGCATCATCGGGGCTGTAGGGAGAGGGAGCTGAAGCTTCTTGAGGATTCTCTTCGTACTTGATGCCCTTCTTTTTGGATGCAAAGCCCTAGCCAAAGGTGAGTATAACGCAATATATCATATATGACATCAGAAATAGAAAAGAAAGTTTCATTAAAATTTATTTCATGTCTCTTCGATCATAAAATCCCTACATCTATTTGCTTCTTCAAAATGGATCCGAATATTCACAAGAATTAAATATTAAAGTGTTCATTTGTAGGCCGTTAAAAATTTGCTGCTTTTGATCATCTGAGCTGGCAACTCCCCCTGTGCGCCAAATTTGCCTTCAGGGAATCGCTTTACATTTGAAATGGGAGGGCATGCGCTTGGAGATATTTACGCCAATACTCATAATAGTATCTATTGCGGTTCAATCAATATATAATCATATCATACTAATATACAATATACTATATATTATATATATATATATAGTATATATATATATATATATAGTATATATATCATATATATATAGTATATATATATATTGAAATTAATATATATATATGATATATATAGAGAGAGAGAGAGAGAGAGAGAGAGAAATGGGTATGCTTGGTACCAAGCACAAATTTTGTGCTTGGTAGTGAGGTGTCATATTCTCATCCACTCATTCCAATTCCCAACCACTCCCCACCTTATATGATTGTGAGCCCCGATTTTAATGAGAGGAGGAAAATATGCAACCTCACTAACAAGCACAAAAACTTGTGCTTGGTACCAATCATATCAATTTTTCTCATATATATATATGAGAAAAATGTGTATGCTTCGTAGTGATGTGTCATATTCTCATCCACTCATTCCAATTCTCAACCACTCCCCATTTCATGTGAATGTGAGCTCTAATTTTAATGAGTGGATGGGAATATATCACCTCACTATCAAGCACAAAAACTTGTGCTTGATACCAATATATATATATATATATATAATACTCTCATTAAAAGTATAAGTTCGGGAAAATCTTTCTATGGTCAATATTATTCTTAATTTTTTTTAATATTACATTATTATCCTAATCTATTCTAATTATCATATCTTCTTTCAAGTGGTAACTAAACGATTTATTCTATTCATAATGAGACTTAACATGTTAATGGATTAAAGAGATATGTTTCATATAATTTAAATCTTTTACTTATTTTAGTTCGTAGAGAAATCTAAAAAAATATATGCTAGCCAGAACCTAAATTTTTTTGGACTTTGTAAAAAATATTCTCCAAGTTTTTTAAATTGTAAAAACACCCCTATAAATGCAAAATTTTATTAAAATATCTTGAATATTATAAATTTTTACTTATTTTTATTCAGTGAGAAGTCTAAAAAATATATGCTAGCTAGAAAATAAAAGTTTTTTGACTTTGGAGAAAATATCTTGTAAGTTTTAAAAATTACAAAAGCACCGCTAACAATTCAAAATTTATAAAAAAAACACCTTGAAAATTTTAAACCTATAAACACACTAAAAACCTACAAATAACACAAACAACCCTAAACATTTATGGAATTTGCAATACACACTCTAAACTTTTTATAAATTGTAAAATTTACAACAATCCTAATAATTTCTAACCTAACAGTATATTAAAAATATAGGAATTATAAATATTCCCTACATAATTTATAAATTATAGAAAACACACTTAAAGTTTCAAAAATTATAAACAAATCTTTAAAATTTAAATTTTACAAGCCCATAGAATTTAAAATTAATTAGTAAATTGAAAGTATAGGAATTATAAATAGTCTACAAATAATTTACAATCTATAAAAAATACAAGTTTAAAATTTTACAAAAAGCCCCTAAAATTTATAATTTATAGAAAAAACATCATGAGAATTTCTAACCTATAGACACTAAAATTAATATGAAAAATTACTAATAACCCCTAGAAAATTAAATTTTTATAAAAAATATCATACACATTTTAAAAGTATAGGTTTAGGAAAAACTTGTTATGGTCCATATTACACATAACTTTTTTTAAAAGAACATAAATAATTGAAAATCTATTACATTTGAAATTTACAAAAAAACACCCTTAAAGTTTAGTACATTGCAAATTACCCCTCCAAAGTTTAAAACTTTTTAATAATTTTTTGTAATTCCTTACTTTCAATATAATATTTAATAGTTTTGTGTATTTATAAATTATAAAATTTTAGGGTATTTTTTATAATTTTTAAAACTTTTAAGGGTGTTTATTTTATAGTTTTCTAAATTTTTATTGTGTTTTTTAGTGTAATGCACAGATACGTCAATCAATGATGATATTGAAGAGTAAGTCGTTATTAAGATTATTAGACCATAATTAAGTGTGCATATCACTATTCCTAGACAGTATAGTTTATATATGCAAAAATTTTCAGACAATCTATATAGTGATTAAAAATATTTTGACTTTAATGTACTACTTTTTTTATAAATTATATTTAATGTGAACCCATCATATAATTTTGGTTGTGATCATCATATTTTAATACGTTTGATTGATTGGTTATATATGTATATAGACTATAGATTACTTTAATTTCTCACATGAGCTAATATTTTATGCTTAATAATTTAAATTATTACTTTTAAATTTAATATAAAGAGGAGCTCTAACGATATATTTATTTATTTATATACAACATAATACAACCTTAATTCCTATTTTTTGCTTGAGATTTATTCCTTAGTTACGCGTATCACATTAGTAACTAAAATAATTATTATTTATGCTTAAATTAGGATGATTTTAGTTGGTCACTCACTATAGAATTTTCATGAAGATAGATACCTTACTTTCTATAGCTATCTGCATTGTCCATGTATATTTTATAAATTAGTTCTTAATTTGACATGTTAAATTATTTTTCTTTGTAGAAATTTCTTTTTTGACTTTTGAACTGTGTAATCAATATATCACCATTCTAGCGTAGAAAGGACCTCACTCTAAACGACTTCATGCTAATGTTTGCGTTAAACTGAAGTATAAATTATTACTACTATGTGTATATATATTTTTAAGAAAATCATGTCAACACTTTTTAAACAGAAGAGAATATTTTAACCTTTGATATTATAAAAACTAAATATAGCCAATTAAGTGATTAACAAAAGAGAGCTTACATCAGAAAAGTATGAATAATTAGATAAAAAGGAAAGGTAATAGCATTGCCAACAATACCATAAATAGAAAACTATAATATAAAGTTAACCAATTTTGTGGGGCCAAACTACAGGCTATAAGCATCGAGGTTTTCATATATATACTTTATAATTTATTAAAAAGGGTCATATAATCTTATATAATAAAATTGCATATATATACTTTATAATTTATTAAAAAGGGTCATATAATCTTATATAATAAAATTGATTTAATATTAAATAGTAATATTTTATAATTTATTAAAAAGGGTCATATAATCTTATATAATAAAATTGATTTAATATTAAATAGTAATATCGTTGTAACTACATCGTTATTAGGGAAAATTCTTCATGAATCAATATGTTCTTTACGATATGTAAGCTATACACTCTATATTCTTGTGTCTTTTATAGAGCCAAAAAGTTTGAATACAAGCCACTAACATGTTGCTCTCACAACAGTAAAAAATTCACTTAGCAGATGTGGATATTCCAGATGAGTTATGTATCCTATATACAGTACAATTACCCTAAGCAAGTGAGTTATAATATCATTTTTATCCACATCGTTTGGAGTAAGATTTGATAAGGACCTTGCATAAAAAAGTTATATTTAGAGCACATGGCGAAATATATCATAATCTTCCTACTCAAACTTTCAGAAAATAATTCTTCATACTTTCAGTTTTACTTTTATGATAAAGAGAATGCGCTGTAAAATTGAACGAGAATATTAGATAATATAATATGAGCGAAACAACAACTAAAAGTTAACGTGAATATGAGTCAAAACCACAACTAAAAATTTAATAGACATATTGCAAGTAAATTCATATGCAAAATTCTTTTGCGAATTGAAAGATCACTCATCTTTTAAAGGCTTCAAGATACTAATAAATAGAGATGTGGTACTAGATTAATGTGTTTATAACTCATAAATATTAGATCATGTGGCCATAGTCTGGATTAAAAGAAACAATAACAATATTTTATTTGAGAGAGAGATTATTGAGTTGATGATCAATCCCACAAAAACGTTTATTTTTTTATTTTAACTCTATTTTTATTAATTTAAATAATCATGGTATTCAACCACGTGCATTGCACGTACATCTCAACTAGTGTATATATATGACTTAACTAAAAGATTTGGTTATTTTAATAGAATTAACTTAGTCGTTGTAAAAATAGTTCTTCATAATTATGAAGCATAAATCTGTAATTTGAATACTTCATTGAGACTTGCAACTCTGAGTGTATAACTATAACCCAAGTTAAAAGATACAAGGAAATTGGGCCGTAACTAGTAGAAGTCGTACTCATTATCATAACTGGCCGGGTCGGGTAATTTCGAATCCGTTTCGGTTACGGATCAAAGCGGCAGCCTCTTCTTGGTTCCGTTTTCGTCAGATCGCTTCAAAGCTCTATTTTTTTTCCATCAGTTACAATTTATAAACATGCTACTCTTCTTCTAAAAACAATTAATTAATTTAAATAAATAAACGAAACTCAGTTTTTTTCTTCTCGTTTTTTCGACCATTTGATTCTTTCTCTTCTCTTCAGTAATGGCCGCCGCGAGAACCAAACGAGGAGCATTGCCGCCCGCTCAAGAGGTCAGTCCTCCTCCCAGTTCTAGGTTTTTTTTTTCTTTTTTACAAGTTTTTGATCCTCCTTTGATACCAATCCGAAAGAACCCGATCGAAAATTTTCGTCTTTCTGCTGGAATTTTACGAATTTGTTGTTGGGATTGAAGGTGGTTGAGAAATTGGAGAAGATTGTAAAGGATGGGAATAATTATGGGGCGTTGCAGATGTATAAATCTTACAGCGTGAGGTATGAGAATTCATTCTCTAAATTTGCTAGTTGCTTTTGATCTAGTTATGATGTTAGCTCAAATTTTGGGGGGAAAGATGGCTTTTTTTTTTTAATTTCAGGTTGGTAATTCACTGTTAGTAGGTATTTCTGTCAGAGGTTCTTATCGGGAAATTTCCTATTTTAGGAATCTATTAGTTTAGGTTATGTTATTTACTCTTTTAGGCTCTTTTTCTAGGGTAGGAAAGGTTTATAGGGTTCCCCTGGATTAAAAACAATCCAATCAGTCCTTAATTTTCTTGGCTATGAAGTTGGCAGGACAATACAGAGGCGACACGATTGTAGATCTTTTTTCTTTCTTTCTTTTTTTTCTCTCTTTTTTGTTTTTTTTTTCTTTAAAATCTTTCATGGTTCCTCTTAGTATGGAGTTTTAACTCCGTAGTTGTCTCTGTTTGACAGGAAAAGTTTAGATACACTGACAATTATAGTTAGGTTGATTTCCCCTCTTTTTTCTTTGCCGCCTTCGTTTTCTTTTTTACTTTTTTACCCTGATCATGATCCTAACTTAACCGGGGTTATGTAGAAAAATAGGTAATATACATTTATTAATGAACTTAGATATAAGCTAGGGGTAACATTTAAGAAAATCATGTCAGGAGATCTATAAAATACAGCTATGGGAGAAAGTTTAAGAAAATCATGTCAGGAGATCTATAGAAATCAGCTAGTTCTGAAAAATGAAATCCTTCAGAAGTATTTAATTAGTATCATTTAACTCCCTTTGCATGTTTAAACAAGCCAATATGTTAGACTTCGAACATGATAGATGACTTGATGTTTTGATGAGCAAGCTTGGTGATCGTTAGGAGCATCTCCATGGGTGTGTAATAATACAATATAATTTTCAAGATCATCTCTAGAGGTCAAATTTTCATGTTTTCTTTCCATTTGTTTATGATAGTTTATTCCTGTAATTCTTTTGAATGGACATGTGTTTGATGGTGACTTTATGTTTACAGGTATGCAGCTGCTGATAGACACACCGAGGCCTTACAAATCCTTGAATCAGGTGCTCTGGTTCAACTGAATAGTGGACAGGTTATTTCTTTGCACTGTCCTTATAAGACTCTTCTCGGAAACATGTAGATATATAATTGTAAAGGCACCATATTGCGTAGAATTTTGTGGATAATTAGCCAAGCAAGAAATTGAAATCACATTGTAGAGACTCTAAGTTATACTGTAGAATCAAAGCCCAAGGGTGAAAGTAAAGAAATGAATGGTTGGGCGTGTCTATAAGAACTAGGAAACTAACAAAGTAAATAACAATATGATGACCTTGGAGGGATTGCTCGTTATAATGTGACAATGTATTTGTTTTATAACTATTGCACTAATTGCTAGCTTCAACTCATCAACTTGTAGGGAATAATTAAGTGACTAAGTACTGAAGATTGTAGTTTTTTTAGAATGTCCCTGAAAGCCTACATGCAAGAATTGTCTATGCTAAGGAAAACTTGAATTCAGAAACAATTTGAAAACTTGTATAGAATTAATGTATAGAAGGAAGAAAACCAATCACAATGTTACTCTTTTTTTGAAGGTTTAAATGGAATATTAGATGTTCACCATCATTTTGGTGTGCTTAGGGCATCTCCAACCCATCGCACCAAAATGGTGCAAATTTTGCACCAAAATGGTGCAAAAGTCACATCTAACAGTAATTCATCTTCAACCCACTGCATCATTTTTTACACCAAAAAAGAATATTCTCAGTATCTTTCTTTTTATCTACTTTTATATTATTATTTTTTATTCCCTATATTTTTAACTATTTCAACAATTAACCCCACATATCAAATTTTATTTTTTCACATATTTTCCAAACAAAATGATTTATTATTTAAAAAATTAAACTAATAAAACAATAAAATATTATTTTATTAATTAAAATAACTTGATTGCTAAAATATTATATTTTTATTATTGATATTGCCAAAATATTACATTCAAGAACACAACAGGAAATAAAATACAAGAAAATAATTAAACATTAACAACAATATAAAAATTACAAATTTAGTATGCACTTAACTATCTGAATTAGTGTATTCCTCCCATAGATGATCTATCAATGCATTACGAAGCGCAATATGGGCATCTTTATCCTTGATTTTTCCGTAACGTGTAATAAATTGAGTAAATCTTGTAGTTTCATCTGCTACCATATCAACTTCTGGTGTTGGTGCTTCCCTCACTTCTTGAATTGGTGCATAAAGATCACGTTCATCCTCGATTATCATATTGTGCATAATAATGCATGCAGTCATTATGTCATGTAATACATGTTTTTTCCAAAAACGTGCTGATCCTGCCACGATTGCAAATCGTGATTGGAGAACTCCGAACGCACGTTCTACATCTTTTCTACATGCTTCCTGTTTCATGGTAAAATATTTTTTCTTCCTACCTTGTGGCTGTTGGATTATTTGTACAATAGTAGCCCATTTTGAATATATACCATCAGCTAAATAATAACCCATATTATACTCTTTTCCTTGAATAACATAGTGAGCGGGAGGAGCAATACCTTGAGCTAGGTTAGAGAAAAGATTAGATGACTCTAGCACATTGATATCATTATTAGTGCCTGGCATACCAAAATATGCGTGTCATATCCAAAGATCATAATTTGCCACAGCTTCAAGGATAATAGTTGGTGACCCACTACGTCCTGTGTATTGCCCAGACCATGCTGTTGGACAATTTTTCTATTTCCAATGCATACAATCAAGACTTCCTAACATTCCTGGAAAACCACGTTTTTTACCAATATAGAGTAGCCTAGCAATATCGTTAGCGTTAGGTGTTCGTAGATACCGCTCTGCGAATATCTCCACCATAGCACGACAAAATATTGTTATACTTTCAATTGTTGTTGACTTACCTATTTTAACGTATTCGTCCGTAACATCAGCTGGTAGACCGTATGCCAACATACGGAAAACAGCTGTTACTTTCTGTAACGGTGATAATCCAATTCTACCAAGTCCATCACTTCGTTGTTGGAAGTAATGGTCATGATCTTTCACTGCATCAACAATACGAATGAACAAACTTCTTGACATCCGATATCGACGACGAAACATATCTTCTCCAAAACGTGGATTATCGACAAAGTAATCTATGACCAAATTCAGATGCGCAGTTTCTCGATCGCGGTTGATCACTGCATGACCGGGAATCGAGCCACCATGGATCGGTTGGTAGTTTTGTTGGCGTAAATTGTTAGCGATGATCATGTTGTTGTTGATGTACTCACAAATTACTTCTTCGGTTTCATCAATCTCTGCAATGATATTGGTCAGAAAATTATCATCCGAAGATGAAGATGATGATAAATATGATGGACCTCCAACATCGAAATTCATTTTTAGAGTAAGAAAAGAATGACTGAGGTATGCAGAAATGGAGAATAATAATTTTAACACAACAACGAATAATTGTGTGGATGTACCTAATCTAGTATGCTATTTATAAAACTTTGCTGAGCTGTGTATACGTTGGATAATGTGTAAAGCTGACCAGTTTTCAAAAAAATGATTCCCACTCGTAGAAAGCTTTCACACAATTCAAAGAAAGCTGAGCTGTGTATACGTTGGACAATGTGTAAAGCTGATCAGTTTTCAAAAAATAATTCTCACCTCGTACAAAGCTTTCACACAATTCAAGGAAAGCTGAGCTGTGTATACGTTGGACAATGTGTAAAGCTGATCAGTTTTCAAAAAATGATTCCCACTCGTACAAAGCTTTCACACAATTCAAGAAAAGTTGAGCTGTGTATACGTTGGACAATGTGTAAAGCTGATCAGTTTTCAAAAAATGATTCCCACTCGTACAAAGCTTTCACACAATTCAAAAAAAACTGAGCTGTGTATACGTTGGACAATGTGTAAAGCTGATCAGTTTTCAAAAAATGATTCTCACTCGTACAAAGCTTTCACACAATTCAAGGAAAGTTGAGCTGTGTATACGTTGGATAATGTGTAAAGCTGATCAGTTTTCAAAAAATGATTCTCACCGACAACGTTGGACAATGTGTAAAGCTGATCATTTTGTCCACAACGATTTAATTTCAAATGTTGACCACCGACAAATTCAAATTCAAACAAAAAAAAATAAATTTGGATTGGCTATAAATAACATTCACGGTTTCTACTTCAAACCACCCAATTTGAAGTATTTCCTCAAAGTATTTCCAATCTCCAAACCAACCGCTTTTTACCCAAAAAAAATGTCTGTTCGATCATCTGGATACACTGTTACTGAAGATGTGCTCATTTGTCAAGTATTCTTGGATATTTTTCAAGACCCTATTATCGGTAGAAACCAGTCTCGAGATGCATTTTGGTCTCGTGTGGAGGACAGATACAATGAACTTCGAGACCAAAATTCTGATGTGCGTACGAGCCGATCAATTCGTTCTCGAATGGAAATCATAAGTAATGAAGTAAGAAAATTGAATGCGTGTTTGAGACAAGTAGAGAATCTAAATCCAAGTGGTGCTTCAGATGAAGATATTGTAAGTATTCTATTAATTATCGTTTGAAATTTATTATTATTGTTGAAAAACATAACTTGATGTTCATTACAATTTGTAGTTAGTTCGAGCAAAGATGTTATTTATGCAAGAACCAAAGTACAAAAAAGGTTTTAAATTTGATCATGTCTGAAATATGGTTAAAATTTTTGAAAAATTTAAAGATGATGTCCCCACAGCAAGACAAGTTGGTCGAAGACAACCCCAAAGTGTGAACTTCGACTCGTCACAATCAGATAATCCCACTCCGGAATCTCCTATATCAACATCTTCTGGACTGTTATCGTTTACTCCATCTGAACGACCTATTGGAGTAAAAAAAGCCAAATTGAAAAGAAAAAATGATGATCATGAGTCAAGCGTAGTGGAATCCATCGAGACTTCCAACAACCGACTTATAGACAGGTTAGACAAGACGAGCTTGGACAGGCAAGTAGCATTTGATATCGAACGAGAAAAGATAGCTATGAAAAAAGATAGAGATGAATGGAAAATTATAATGAAAGATTTGAATTCCATTGCTGATCCAAACTTGCGGGAGTACGTTCGAGCTCAACAGATTAAAATAATACAAAAAAGAAATCAACAAGAACAAGGGTCTGCTTCTAATTTTGGCAATTATTTCAATGATATTGGACACTCTGGCCCCGATCAACCAGATTATTGAGAGTTGCTTGTCCATCTCAGGAAATGTTCCATGTTTAGTTTGTATTTTATATTTTATGTTTTATTTTAATGAAGTTTTATATTATGCGTGTCAGTTTTTATATGTTATGTATTTCAGATATGTAATTTATATTTGAATTATGTATTAGGATTGCTCTTTATATTTCATGGGACTTTACTTAATGTCTAGATTGTAATATTATAATTAATAATAATGTCTTTTAAATTTTAGCATTATTTTTATTTTTAAAAAATAATTTATTTTGTCCAAATTATACAATTAGGGTAAAATTATAAAATTTAAATATTATTGGGGTTGTTTTATACATTTAATAAAACAATTGGGGTCAAATTGTAAATACATAAAAGTATGAGGTAAAAATAAAAAAATTTAAAAAATATATAAATGAACAGTAATGCGGTGATGAACAGTGCGACACCAAATATGACGTCGCGCTGTTCATCACCGCTGAAATAGCGCCCAAAATGGCGCTGGGTTGGAGACTGATCGCAGCGGCAAAAATCAGTTTTGCCTCAAAATGGCGCTCGGTTGGAGATGGTCTTATTAGAGGAGAATTACAATCCTACTGTAGTACATAGTACAACTGATACAAGCTACTATCATATAAAGCAATAACTTGGACATTAGTTATCCTTCATTAGCACATTTTATCCATAGTATTATCCTAAGATCTGGCACTATAAATATCCTTCAGTGGCATAGTAAGCCCTTGCTGATATCCTTTTCTTCATTAAATCCAAGAATAAAACTGTTTGACTGCTACCTTCTTGCAGGTTACTTGTGGGGCTGAATTAGCTTGGTTGTTTGTGGAGACACTAATCAAAGGAAAGTTTCCATACAATGAAGAAACACTTGGTCAGTTTTTTTTATTTTTTCATTTTGTACAACCCTCATCTCATCTTTAATATTTCTCTTCATGAACATTCGATTGATCATGAATTCTAAATACTTGGCTCTTAACCTTGCCACATTCATTTTCTTATCCATTAGTTGTTAGGGTGGTTCGTGGTTATTTGGTTTCAGCAATGGGTTGCTCCTCAATTTCTTTTTTGAGAACCTTCTTCTTTGCTGTTCAAAACTCCCAGGCAACGACTACTGAGGCATCTGAATTGATCAAGTTTTTTCTTGTCTAAGTCATGATTTAGTATTGAAACACTAACACGTAGAATTTGAAATCCACTTGGCTTGTGATGCCACAAACAATCGTCCCACATTGGTGGGTGAGTGAGACACTGTATGGTTTATAATGTAACCCATGAGTGTCAAGTGTAACATGGTTAACTATTTTGGCAATCGATTGAGCCAAACAACGCGTTACACACAGTGGGTCTCACAGCTTATATCGCCCACAATGAGTTCGTGGGCCCGGGACGTAACAAATGGTATCAGAATAATTGGTCAGCCGGAAATGTATGCAGGCCTAAGTGCTATATCGCATGAGCGTGGTGGGAGTCACCTCTAGAATCTGTAGGAGTTACCTCGAGAGTCAACATTGCCTGGTGGTGATACTGAGATGTGATAATTGTTATGCTGCATCAAGAATGTGGCGTATTAAAGGTGGAATGATTGCGATGCCCCCACATCGGGAAATTGATAAAGTTTAATAGGGTTTAAATGATGGGTCTAGAGAGTCAAATGCAATATTGGCTAGCCAATTTTGACAATGATTTGAGCCAAACAACGTGTTTCGCTTCGTGGGTCTGAGATGTTGCATAGGTGGGTCCTAGGGCTTACATCGCGCCAACTGCTTATGGGCTTAGGGCTTGATAGTCAAATTCATGACACTTAAAAGTTAAAACACAATACTTTATTGAAGTGGACACTTAAGACCTTACTATTTTGACCAATGTATACTTTAAAGACATGCTTTTGCATCTAAGACTGTCACTCTTCTTTATCATGACTGAAACTTTCACTTTAGGTCGTGTCGGGAAGATATACCAAGCCTTCCCAAAGTTATCTGTTCCCCAACAGCTGGGAATGGAAGATGATGATGTAGACATGGAAAAACTTCAGGAGGCCATGGTGGCAGCAAAAGTACGTGTTGAGAGTTGCTCATCATTTTTGAAACATGCACTCAAGTAAGGTCATTCTGCCTCTTATTTGCAGTTAAACACTGAAAAAATTCAGATGAATCATCAATTTTCTTATTTGTTCAAGTATTGTTTTCAATGATTTGCTTACATACAATTCGTCTTTAGCCTGTAAAACAGCTGCCTTGCCTATTTGTAGTTTTATTTTGACTTGCAATCTGAGAGAGATTTCATTATAATATTCGGAGGGGTAGTGAAGGCTGTCTTGCCTGAGGTCAACTTTTTCACATATCATTACTGAGTTTGCTTCAGATTGTTGATTGCCCCCTGTTAACGGGTTTCTATAACTAGCTAGGTAGGCATGTGCTCTGTACGTCCACACTAACTTTAAATATCTTATAAATTTTCATAATATAAGTAGATAAAGTAGTTGTCAAATATGATTAAGGGCTTCTCAGTATTTCTCACTTGTTAGTTCCAAAAGATGTAAAAGAAACAAAATTGGCCTTATAAAAAAGGACCTTACCAAACCACCTTTTCCTTCTTGTATTTGGACACTTACTTTTGTAAAATATTTTAGGGCTGGGCATATTCGGTTCGGTTCGGTTTTATGCCCAATCCGCATCCAATCCGAATTTTTTGGATTCTCAAAACTCTCATTCAGATCCAGATTTTTTCCCCTTCATCCGAATATTCGGCCCAACCGAAATTCGGTTTGGTTCGGTTCGGTTTCAGTTTTGAATTTGCAAAGAGTTCTATCCAATGACTTCTGTTGTGAATTTGCAAGCTAGGCATTGTCCTCATGATGAGGTTCCTGAGCTCGCCAACAAAGCTTTATTAGACTGGTTATCATTTTTAGAATAAAGTTTTGAGTTGATATAATTACGCAGAGAACTGATGTTTTAAAGATGTTGTTCATATAATACAGCATGCTTATCTCTTGTAAGTATCATGTACATAACACTTTTTGTGATTGATTTGAATCTTATGTAATTCTCAAGATCTTTTCTGCGAAATTTTTTAACAAAAGTTTAAGTTTATTTAATTACACGGGGGAGTGATGTTTTGTATGATATTGTTCATATAATGTAGCGTATGCATCTTTTGTAAGTGCATCATGTGCATAACAAATTTTCTGGATTGATTTGAATCTTTACTTAGTTCCCAAGGATATTTTTCTGTGATATTGCTGTACTCGTTGCTTGAAACTGTTCCTTGCGCCGTTTGAATCTATTGGATGATAACAGGAAAAGTTTTGAGGTATAAGTTTAGTCTCTAAACCGCCCAACAGAATTCGGGTCGGTTTTTTTTGGGCGGTTCAGGGGTTCAAACGGGATCCAAACCGATTTAATTCGGTTCGGGCGGTTTAGAGACTTCTTCTCATCCATTTAATTCGGTTCGGTTAACCGGTCCGTTTTTTCGGGCGGTTTTTTCGGTTGAACCGGTTTTTTTCGGTTTTTGCCCACCCCTAAAATATTTCATGATAAATTTCCTAAGTCTCTTATTTTATTTTACAGAGGATGTTTGTATGCACGTAGTATTACCTATAACACTTTATTATTTGATATGTTATTTCTTTTTCATAGGTGGTCGTCTGAGTTTGGGGCTCCCAAAGGTGGATCGCCTCAAATGCATGTTATGTTGGCTGAATATATATATTCAGAGTCTCCTGAGTTGGTATGTTAAGTTGGATTACGCTTCTTACATGGGACCGTGTAAACAATTGTTTTATAATGAACTTCTATGTGCTTTTTGTGACCATTTTACAAAACTTAATTGGACACATGCTAAGATAATGGACTAGTTTGACATTCCAACAGATGTGTTAGCTCATAGAAGTCGTGCTCTGAAAATAGGTAACCATGACCCTGGTGTCAATCTCTCCCTTGATTTTCTTCTAAGATTTTTCTATCAGTTGATATCTCCCATACTATAGTTGATGCTGCACTGTGATTACTAGCCATGTCTGTTGCATCAAGAGTTCTGTCACCGTACACAAAGTTTGAAAATGTTTATGCCTAATTACATATATAGGCGTAGAAATGTGGGTGGAGAAGAACTCGCCTCAAGGCCAAAAGCATATAAAATTAGCTGGCAGGTAGACCCTTGTTTTCCATATAATGTCAGCTCAGTGAATGTGCATCTTTTTAGAAGTTTGAGAAAATGCAACTATTTAAAAGTTTGAGAAAAGAATCAATCTAGATTATTATGGGCAAGAAGGTTAAGTTTGATATTGGGCAACGCATTCCTTTGATCATCTTAAAAACCCAATCAGAGGCTTGAAACTCATATGTCTCCATGTTTTTGTTTTTATTTTTATGCGTTTTTTTTTTTTCATGGAAAGCTTTCTTTATCTTTATTCGCGTAGTTGCTAACCACAAAACATCATTGCTTGATAGGACATGACTAAAGTTTCTGGGCACTTTATTCGAGGGAATGATCGAGAAAAGTTTGCCTTTACACTCGTGAACTTTATGGGGAAGGTTTGTTAGTCACTTTGTCTCTATTTGATTGATTGATTTATTTATTTACCTGTGGATTTTTTAGTTCTCTATAATGTGCACAACAAACTTATGGGTCCACTTAAATGGAAAATATTAATATTATGGTATGAATATGGAATTAAGGTGTGAATATGGAAAATATATGTGAATATAATGTGCACAGCAAACCTAGATCACATTTTTTGACTTGTAACTCTTTTCTTTTCCTAAAATGAGATCAGGGCTTGCGGATTAACTTTAGCTTGAATGTTGTTCATACTGAAGATGAAAATACTTCCAGGCTATTTCTTTGAACACTGTCATGCATCCATCGAATATAACGGAGATTCTATAGGCTTATGTTTATGTTCTTATGCTCATTTTTTTCTCGTATTAATATTTGATTTTATAGCTTGTTTTTCTTGTTCCGTTTTTTGTGGTACAATCAGCTTGCATCTTTCAATGGTATTCAAAAGATGTTGAAAAACTGATGCAATTTCTTGCTCACCTAAGTTGCAGATTTTTATGCATGCCTGGTGCATGTTTGGCTCACGTAACGAAAAGAGATGAAGCTAATAGAAGTTGTTGTTTGTAATATGTTAATTATTAATTTCATATAGATTAATATATGATTTTCATTTTGTTATTCCATAGAAATAGTATTGTTTCTATTTGACCACATATCTGATTGTAGTTTTGCATTGTGAATCTTGCTAATCTATATTTCAAATACATGTTATCTTGTTTACTTTATGCTATCTCTTGTTAGCAAGTAATTCTTTTTGTTATTTTTTGTGACAGTGCTACCCTGGTGAAGATGATTTGGCGATTGCACGTGCAATCCTAATGTAAGATTGCTTCTTTTGCATTGCTGGTTTATGGATTTAATTTGATGCTTGTTGCTTCATATGGGAACCTACCAAATATTATTTACGTAGATGTTGATGTCTGCTATTTTAATCTTAAGAAATTTTTTGATATATGGTTAGGACAACATTCAAGTAAAGTTAGCATGATTTTAGATTGTTTGTTGTTGTTGTTGTTGTTGTACTCTGGTAGATGTATGCTTGTTGATCTGCACTTGCCACTTGACATACAGGACTGTACTTTTAACAAGTCTTTCATGTTAGGTACCTGTCACAAGGGAATCTGAGAGATGCAAACTATATCATGGATGAGATAAAAAAGCAGTTGGAGTCAAAGAAATTGGATCTCCCACATTCAAATTTGACCAACTTTGTTGAGTACCTCTTGCAAACGTAAGTCATATTGTTTTGCAAACTCCTTATGTTCTTTCACATGCTATAATCTGCCAAACTGATCAATTTACATGACACTGAATTGCTGGAGATGGTTTATGTATGTAAATGCAAACAACACATATTTAGTTATGTCTAGGTAAAAGCTACCTGGGCTTTGATAAATAACAATAAAAGATAGGAAAGTAAAGTAAAAAATTATTACTTTTCACATAACAAATCAAACATGAAGCTGGTAAAAAGGAAGAGAGAACCCGGTGCGGTCTACATTCAATTTCCTTGTCAGGTTAGGATTCATAGTCTACAAGAATCTGATCTGGCCCAACACGTTACATCCCTAATGATGATTGACAGTGTAAGGCTCATGAAAACTTCGTCATTCTTCTTTAAATATTAAAAAAATTAAAACCCTTAGATTCTGACGTGTAAGCTTCACAAGTTCGCCCTCCATTATAATTATTTTTTAATTAAACATTATAAAAACAGAAGTAGGTGTAATTATAGACAACTTCCATCTCAAGAGACTAGACTTCATTCTTTTCCACCAAAGAGTATTTCTCAATGCAATTCTTTCAGCAATTATTTTTCCAACAGATTTTAATACTCCTGGATAACCATTTTAGTTTAAACAAGCATTTTGGTCTAAGTTACGTACATAAGGAAGTAAAAGCCAGATCTACATTTCTCTATAAATTCTCTTCTGCTGTATCAGTTCTTCAATTATCTATATTTGTTGTTTTATACAGGTTGGAAAGGGATGCTTTCCCACTTTTTAGGATTTTAAGACAGAAATACGAGTCAAGTATAGATCGTGATCCTTTGTTTAGTGAGGTAGCCTTCTGACCTTGGTCACTTTCTTGAAAATCACGCCATCATATCCAGTTATATTGCACTTATTTTTGTTTATCATGTCGATTTTTTGTAGCTAACTCGATTTTACTATTCTTTACTAAGAGAGTGTTTCTTCTTTATCTTTCATAAAACTTATTATGCACCGAGCTTTAAAGATGCATGTTGTGAACATAACTTGCTAAGATTCATTTCTATGTTCAAATTTTAAAAGGAGATTTTGTTTGATATCTCTTGTGCAAATTATAGTTGTTTAGTAAGACATTCAAAGCCATACCTCTTTTTTCTGTGTATGGAAGCAACCTGCTATCCTTTCAGTATATCATCACACGGTAAAATTCTATGCAGCTAATGATGCCCTTATTATTGCATGAATCTGTTCTTGCAGCTATTGGATGAAATTGCTTTCAAGTTTTACAATGTACGGCGCAAAAGTGGTCTAGACAGCATGTTTGGTGATTTCTTCAAGGTACACTATTAATCTTTTAAGAGTATACACAACAATTCAAATTGATGCTCTCTTCCTCTCAGTTGATGATAATAATAAAATTTTCTTTTTGGATCTTTCCTTTATTTCTAACTTCTGATGCTTTAAATCTAAATATTTTGTTGTATTTTCTCTAGATGATGGGAGGAGTTCAAATGTGAGGTTACAGTCCGCATCTTCGATGCCATTTTGATCGATTTTTTTTTCAAGATTGCGTATGCATTGGAGCCGATGCAATTGTAGCTCAAAGATTAATTTTATCGTGGATCACCTCTTAGGAAATAAACCAGTAGTTTGTTAGGTGGTCCAAAAAAAAGGCTTGAAAGCTTTGAGTTTGGCAAAAACTTTTGGACATACAAGCCCCATGTTGAAGCAGTATGAATTCTTTTTGTAACATTTTGCGAATTGTATTTGTTACACTTTATTGCTGGAGTGCAAGAATAAGAGAATGTAGGGGATCCATCCCTTTTCTGTCTATGATGGCATTTGTGTATTTCACATTCGCTGCTGTTGCTTTTATTTTTTATATAAAACAAATGCCTATATTAAAATGCCAATGTGGTAACAAGAGAGCGATCCTCTCAGGGATTTCACCGACCAGCAAGAGAGGCATAACACAATTGTAGCGGGTAGATTAGTTACAAAGTTCTAGTCAGATCATTGTGTACACCCTTGGAAAATTTGACTAGACAATTTATATCAGTGGCTCTCTTGTTAGAAAATGGGTGGCGCTACAGTCACACCCCCAACCATACTCTTTTCTCGTTACAGTACACTAGGACCCACACGAGAATTTAAACTCCTCTCTCGTTACAGTGCACCTGGACTCACATGAGAATTTTAAAAGCCCAGTGCACTGTAGCGAGAGAGGAGTGTGGTTGAGGGTATGGTTGGGGGGTGTGCCTCTAGCATTTTCCTTAGAAAATTCATCCTAATGACCCCAAAAATAAAGGAAATGATAAAGAGAGATTTCTCTGTTTAAGGATGTTGACAGTGATATATAAAGTTATTTTGGTTGTCAAAAAAACAAGATTTATATGTAATGAATTAATGTCATAATGCATTACAGCTGCTTCCTTGTCTAGGCGTGAGAGAACAATAAGCAAAAGCCTCAATTATTAATCAATTAATAACGTCCCTTTGAACTGGGATTTTTGGGGTTTTGAAAACACAACGAAACAACCTTTTCATTTGAAAAATAAGGAAGAGTTGGTGAGGACGCAACGCTTGTCTTGTACATTGTTGACATTGAAATCTCACCAAATCCATCAAATAGGGTCCCATACAAGCACACACTCTTTTCAACTGATCTAAAATGTGTGAAATTGTAGTGCTCTCTACCAACAAAAATAATGAAGCTACTCAATCTTTTCTTGGAACCAAAGTAATGACAGCTTCTCCTCTGATCACCACGCTTCACTTTATCTTTGAATTTTCTACCTACCTCAGTGATCCGAAAACTGTTCTATCTAATAGAAATTTCTTCTTACTCAGAATTATGTAATCAATTATGGAACAACTGAAGCATTTCTTTGTTTCCCCTTGATTTTAAGATCATTAAATTTACCCAGCACGGGTGACTCGGACGGCTAGGAGGTTCCAATATGACTCTAATAGTCTTGGGTTCAATTTCGGCTGTGTTATAAAAAAGATTATTGACTTTTGTGATTGAGTTTATTAATTTAACTTATTCAAAAGGTTGTTTGGTTTGATGGAAATAATGTTGCAAATGTAAATAGAGTAACCGAATTTATAAATACATTATTTTGTTTAAAACATTGTAATTAGAAAATGTAAATAGACTTGTATTTTGTTGAAAAACTTTGCAACAAATGCTATGGGCAATTGGCAGAAGGAAATAATTCCACCTCATTAAAATAAATCTTTTAAAATTCAAAGCAAAAAATCATCTAGTTATTAAAAAAAAAAAAAAGAAAGGAAATCATCTACATCCAAGTTTCCTTGTATGGCCAAATTTTGTGGTTTTTGTAGTAATTTCTTTTCAATCAAATACTAGATTTGCGTTGGAAATACATTTCCTACAATATAATTATAGATATCCAGACAATAAATTTTAAATTTGTTTTCTTGCAAAATATGTTGCATGCAACATTTGATGCATTTTATTTTTGTAGTAAATCAAACAACCCCTATGAGTGTAAACATGATCAAATCCTTTACTCTTAGGGGCTGTTTGGTTGCACACTTTTTGAGAAAACTTTTATCAAAACATCTGACAATGGCAAATTTGTAATTAAAAGTTTTCCAGAGATTTTTGTAAATTGTGTTTAGTTCAACAAAAAATTTACAGAAATATTTTCTATAAAATATCAAAACCTACCAAATTTTACAAAAAGCAATTTCCTCTCAAAATGAGAGGAAATCACCAGAAATCTGACACATACCATATTTAATTAAAAACCTACCAAATCTTTTTATTTTCTATAAAGTTATGAGCCATTTTTTTGTTTTGAACCAAACAAGCAAAGTACAAAAAATAAGTAAATTGGTACTTTTTGATTTCTCAAAACTTTTCCTATAATTTTTTTAAGAAATACAAGAAAATCATATTTTAAGTGGAAAATATTTTCTATAATTTCTAGAAATTGAACCAAACACCCCCTTACCTGAAACATTAATTACCCAAATTATGATATTTTTTAATAAAAAATTATGAGAGTTCATGATAGTTTTGTAATAAAAAATTATTAGATTTTCGTTTTAAAAATTTCACAATAATTTGTTAAGTTTAACCTTATATTAATGGATGGTTTTTGAAAAAAGCCTCCTTTTTATCATTCAGTTAAAAAATTTCGACTCATTTTTTATTTATGAAATTCAGCTGAAATTTAGCCATACTAGCATCTTATGATGAAACTAGATAGATTTTTTTAAATAAAAAATGTTTATTGACACAGAGGGCTGGTGTTCTGTTATATTTAATATAACTTTAAATAAATTAATTTTGGGCCCAAAAACATGAATGAATTATAGTACAAGTGATGTGTCTCTACATTTACCACTATCTTGGTCAAAATTCTAAGGAAATGACACGTACGTGTCACATCGTCTCACTGTTGGCCCTCAAAAAGAAGAACTCTAATCTTTATCTTGTATATTGTTAGTTTAATTTTTAATTATGGATAGTTATGATTTCATTAGGATAGTTCTAATTATTGGCAATTATAAATTTAATTAGTATAGTTTTAATTATGAATAATTTTAATTGATTTTTAATTATGGAGAGTTATAGTTTGATTAGGATAATTTTAATTAAGAATAGTAATGATTTGATTTTTAAATATGGATAGTTATGAATTTTATTAGCATAATTTTAATTATGGATAGTTTTTTTTTTATTTTTAATTATAGATAGCTACGGTTTGATTAGACAATTTTATTTTGATTTTTAATTGTGGATAGTTATTATTTATTACCATAGTTAAATCATGGATAGTTATGATTTGATTAAAAAACCCCACACTCTTGTCTCATGTATATAGATCAATCTACTAAATACACATTGACAAACCCGATGATTTTGCAAAATATTTAAAAAAAAAACACTCATTTCACCAAAGTTGCTAATATGGTTGGAACTAGATCAATTTTTATAGAAGGAAAATGACAATTGTAGTGCAAACCCTATATTATTTATATTCTCATTGACAAATGTGTGAGGTCCTTTCTTAGAAATTGTCAAGAAGAAAAGGTAATTCACTATAGAGCCCACTCTTTTATTTCTGTTAGTACAACACAAATTGTTGTGTACAATTATCATTACTCTCTATAGAATATAACAAGTGTTCAATTTATTAAATAACTTTAAGAATGTTTTTTCTATAAAAATTTTCCTATATTACTTCATTATGGAATCCATATTCCACCACTAATCACATCACAAGTCACAAATATATAAAAAAAAGAAATTTTCTAAACAAACACATTCATAATTTTTTTTCTAAAAATAGACCTCATTGAGTTTTTTTTACAAAAAAACAACTCATTTTGTCTTAATCCGGTTTCTAAATAGTCGGGTTGTCAACCCCGACTATTTAATGCATAGAATGTTAGGGTTTAGGGTTATAATTAGGGGTTTACAATCTTCTAAATAGTCAGGATTAACAACCCCGAATATTTAGGATCTAGATTAAGATAAAATGAGTCTATTTTTATAAATAAAAATCAAATAAGTCTATTTTAGAAAAAAAAATATGAATATGTTTATTTAGAAAATTTCTTCTAAAAAAAACCGCATTGTCTCCGATACACTCCTACTTCTCTACTCACATGGGGCCCAAATACATAAACAAACCCACACTAAGGGCCTGTTTGGATTCGTAGGGGGTGAAGGGAAGTTAAGGGAAACTGAGTGAAGGGAAGGGAAGGGAAGGGAAGGGAATTCCCTTCCCCTTGGTTACACCCCAATTTGGGGGTAACAATTTTTATACTATTAAGGGGTGAACCAAGGTGAATGGAGATGAATTAACTTCACCTCTTAAGTGTTCCCAAACAAAATGAATGGAGGTGAATGGTTCCCCTAACTTCCCTTCACCCTCATTCCCCTCAATCCAAACAAGCCCTAAAGCTTGGGCTCCTTTATAAACAACCCCACAATATTTTCTCTCTCCTCTCTCTCTCTCTCTCTCATCTAAATGAAGCCCCTCTCTTCTTCAACCCAAAGAAGGAGACCCTTCTCCTCTTATTATTATTTCATCACCCTTGCTTTCATCACCTTCGTTGCCATCATCTACTGGAAGGACTTCGCCTCATTTTTGCAGTCTCCAGCCCGGTCAAGCCCAACTGGTAATTTTTGCAAACTAGAGATGTGTGGGGGGTTTTTTTTTTGCCTGAGATGGATGTGCTTTTTTGTCCTTGATTTGTAAATTTAGGGGTTGTTTCGGACTAAAGTGAAAATTTGTTGCCTTAGAGAAGGGGGAGGAATGCGATATTTTTGAAGGGAGGTGGGTTTATGATGAAGATAACAGGCCCCTGTACGAAGAGGAGGAGTGCCCTTACATACAGCCCCAGCTCACGTGCCAGGCGCATGGGAGGCCGGAGACTGGGTACCAGCGCTGGAGGTGGCAGCCCCATGGCTGCTCTCTTCCAAGGTGAGCTTCTTTATTCTTTTTATTATTATTTTTTGTTATTTGCCCCTTGTGTTAAATTCTTTTTGCAACTGAAGACGGTTGTTGAACTGCGAAAATAGAAAAAAAAAATGAGGGTTGTAATTTCTGATTGGTTAGTTTTAGTAAAAGCCATTGATTGCCCCGTCACGTTGTTCTTGGAGGCTACCTGGTTTGTGTCTGTTGGGTTGGATTTGTTAATTTGACCGTCCATTTTCACTTTTATTTATCTTTAGTTTTTTTTACCACATTTTAGATGGGAAGGGCAAAATTATGTGATTTCATATCTTCGTATTATTGCTTGATCTGTAACCCAACATTGGATGTGATGTGGATGGTTTTGTTATCGGATTTTTATCATATGTATATTTAATTTTTGGGACAAATTTGCGTTTGGATTGTATTCAGACATGTCGTCGATTATTAATGGACATGACTAAAAGTTTGGGTACAGAGATGGGTTTATAACTTGAGATTTATTTCTCGTAAAAACATCAAAAATATATAAGATGGTACGAGATTGCATTCGATTTTAAGATTATGATACTATATTCTGCAATTTTTTACATGGTTGAAGTATGTATTGTGAGTATGAATCTATCATCCTACATATGGGAGAACTAGGGGGGAATAATCAATGGAAAGTTGACACCAATATCTAGTAGCAGAAGTCCAGATCAACCTTTGAGTAAGAACACATCCAACTCTCTGAGAGGTTTGAGTGCCAACAAGTGGTAATATGAGACTAGATTTTGTGGGTCATTAGGGACAAAGTCCATTGATCCGCTTCGTTGCTCGCCCTTGACCAAGAGCCGATGTTTTTGCCGTGGGTGATCATGAAATACTCACAAATGAAAACGAGTATTGGTGGGGAATTAAGTGTAAGGACAGGGACACGGGCTACAATTTCCTTTGATATCATTGCTATTTGCTAAAGAACAAAAATATCTATAATATGATATCTTTGCTTCTTTATATGTTTATCGCAAATAAACTACATGCAAAGTCTTTGTTGTCGGTGACCTTGCTACAGTTAGTTTCATTCCTAAATAGGCCATCATTATTCATTAGCTTCTCATTGATTTAGGTTATCGTGAATTACAGATTTAATGCCAGTCAAATGCTTGAAATGCTTCGTGGGAAGAGAATGATGTTCGTTGGAGATTCATTGAATCGAGGTCAATATGTCTCTATGGTCTGCCTTCTTCATCGAATCATCCCTGAGAGTGCCAAATCCTTGGAGACGGTGGATTCACTTACTGTCTTCAGAGCTAAGGTAATACTTGTCCCACATTTTGCTACATCTCCGGAACAAAATCCACATGGTATTGAAGAAATTACACCAGACTCCTTTTGTATCATTATTCTGATATTGATCCTTGATGTCTGTATTTTGTAGACAAATAGAAATAGATATCCCTGAACAGCTGTCATACACAGTATATAAGTATTGGGTAGCATTTGATAATCTAGCGATATTCATCTATACTTATAAAGGAAGTTGAGAATGACAGGCATTTATTCGACATTTTCCTTCTCTTTGTTTTCTTTCTTTCTTCTTATTTTTCTTGTTTATATTTGAGAATGAATGCACCTAAAGTTGATTCCTTAAAGATTCAACCTTTGAATTCCTCATCTCCTTCTCTACTCTCCCTTAACCACTGCACCAAGGTCCCCTTGGTAAAATTTAACATATTATTTCATTTATATAGGGTATATGTATGCATGACAATTTGCAGTTTTGGCCAAAACAGATGACCAAATTGGGATAATCCCATGAACTCAAGTTTAGTCTACCACATTATTCTGAACAATCATTAACCCCTGTGGATAAACCGGTTCTTTTTAAAATTTCAGGACTACAATGCTTCAATCGAATTCTATTGGGCTCCCTTTCTTGTCGAGTCCAACTCTGACAATGCTGTAGTACACAGGATAACAGATAGAATAGTTCGTGCCAGATCCATTAACAAGCATGCCCAATACTGGAAGGGAGCTGACATCTTGGTCTTCAATACTTATCTATGGTGGATGACTGGATCTAAGATGAAGATCTTGTAATTTTTTATCATTCTTTTCTTATCCCCTTTTTTCTTCTTTTTGTTTTAACTTAAATTTTCTTCCTTACCGAGTGTATAATTTTCATGACAGGAAAGGGTCATTTGGAGGTGATATGAAGGATATCATAGAGATGGAAACTGAAGATGCATATCGGTTGGCATTGAGGAGAATGGTGAAGTGGGTAGAGAAGAATATGGATCCTCAAAATACAAGAGTTTTCTTTGCAAGCATGTCACCTGCTCATGCAAGGTAAGAATTGTTGCACTTTTTATTTATTACATAATAAATATTTAACTATATATGTTGCTATTACCATCACCAAAATCATCTCTCTATCGAAATTGCATCCTTCATGGAGAAATTTACACCCAAAAAATGCACCTGCTGCTAAAGTTAGTCCAATGCAACTATAAGCAACAGGAGGCGGTGCAGTTATTAAGCGTACACTTCTCTTATTTATTTCTTGTCTAATCATATCCTTCTTTTTCGCTAAATCTATTGATGAATAGATGAAGAAGAAAGAACTGAAATCACTCTGATGTCATGATTCAACAATTGTGTGCTCTAGAACAAAATGAACAAAGACAGGAACCTTGGCCAATGAAAACCCAAGTTTTATATAAAAAAATCAGAGCAAAAGTTTACTTGATTAAATCACTGCATAAAATATGTTGGCTGATGACATTAGCCTTAACATTTATAAGAGCATCAGGGTTAAGATTTTTATATCATGCAAATGGAGGGATTTTGACCGTCTGCACTGCCAAAAAGCAATAGAGTTCTCTTCCTCGATTTCAACCTTCTATTATTTAAGGGACGGTTGTGAGTCACTCCAGACTACACTTCCTATATGAGAGTGAGGGCAAATTACAGGCCACATGGGACATGTTAAATTTAGAATGAATCAGAAATTTGCACCGTGTAACAAACAGTTGTGATCACTCTACACTGCTTTCTAACATCATAACGCTTAAATTTATATTAAAAATCATAAGCTGTATTAGCTAGAAGTTGGAGAACCTAACAAGTAAAAGATTTGCAGTAGCAAGGAGTGGGGAGGTGAGCCGGATGGCAACTGCTACAACGAGACCACACCTATTCAAGATCCAACATATTGGGGGAGCGCAAGCAAGAGCATGATGCAAGTTCTGAAGGAAGTTTTAAGCAAGTCTAGAGTGCCAATCTCCCTCCTCAACATCACCCAGCTCTCTGAGTATAGAAAAGATGCTCACACTTCCATCTATAAGAAACAATGGACTCCTCTAACACCCGAGCAGATTGCTAACCCTAAGAGCTATGCTGATTGCACTCACTGGTGCTTGCCCGGGCTTCAGGATACGTGGAATGAGCTCTTATACGCGAACCTCTTCTCTCCTTGAGAGTCGATGGAGTTTTTTTTCCTCTTTTTTCTCTTTTTATTTTTGGGATTAATTGCATATACACCCATTATTTTATATGAGGTTAGCTATATTTATTGCCCCTGAGCCTTTTGTAATTCGTACTGTTCTATGGAGGGTGTATGCTCAACACTTCTCTCTGCATTGCTGCGAAATATTAGAAGATCTCTATGCAACAAATAACAGGGGAGATGGCTTCATTTTTGGATCAGGGGGGCCAAATTGTCACTGAAAGTCTAGTAAAAGTGAATAAACCCCCCTGTACAACGGGTGTATTTGCAACTTTATTTTTTGTATATGGATTTGATGTACTTACATTGTAATGTAATATATGTTTGATATCTTGAAAGAAGACAATAATTGGAATTTTTTTCCTTATGATGATTCCAATTCAATGTAATAGAAGTTGGTTGAGCTTCGCCTTGAAATTCTTATTTATTTTCATATTGTTGATTCTATGAATGCATTATGCAAGTAGTATGAATGGTCCATTATGTGCAAGGCTCCTGTTCTCTTGAGGAATGCTCTTATTTAGGCTTTGTTTTCTTCAAATAGTTTTTTTTTAAAATATATTTTCTATATTTGCCTGGTATCTCAAAAGAGCTCATTGTTCGATATGGCCACATAAAAATTCTACCCTTTTTCTTGATCTTTTTTCATCCTCCATATATATCGTGCTACTATTAGCAAGTTTCCAGGTGTACCTGATGTATGAGGTAACTTGGTGGATTATTTAGGGTTAATGTAAAACTTATAATATACTAAGCCAATATATTTATGTTCCGGCTCAAGGTTATTGTTCACACTAAGTCAGAATGACTATATCCTAGTTATCTGAGAAATGATATTTGGGTTGAATAATATGTTAAGCATCAATCTCTATGAGCTGCTAATGTGTTGATGCTTCTTTGTCGTGTATAATTTTTCTTTTTTTTTATAAAACAACTTGCACTATGAAAAACATAACAATTACATGATTTTTAGTCTTCTAATTTGGCAGAAGAACCCGAATCATAATCCTAATACTACTTAAGCAATTCCGTTCTCCTTAACAAGAAAGAGACATAAACTTTCTGCTGAAAAAGGCACTAAAAAAAGAAAAAAAAGCAAAAAAAGAATATCACATGAAGTTCACGAGAGAGGGACTCAACTGTTTGATTAATCCAGAAGCAAAAAAAATAAAATAAATAAAACTAGAATTCAGCAACAACCATAGGTCCAGCTAGGATAGGAGCTGGATAACAGAGATGTAGAAGGCTACCAACTAGTCGAGCCAAGCTTTAGTTGAACCATCTTGATGTGTAACCATAAAGTCTCAACTTTTCTTCAATTGTTTATTTAGTAGGTATTTTGATTATCCTTGAAGGAAAAAAGTACCATTTTAGTTTACAAAAGATTCGTGATATTTTAAATTCCAAGATTTCCCAATGTGCATTGACCTTATCAAAGTCGGGAAAAATTACAGTAAATACTTTATTTTCTTATAATGTAGAAAATTACAGAAATTCCATAAATTTTCTAATATTTGTAGAAAATCCATTATTTCAAAAGTGATAGACTCTGTTTCAAATTATACTAAATTAAGTTAGATATACAAAAAATCTGGCTCCAGCATATGTAATTATTTCTGCTTTCACATAAGCATGTGTAATATGTGCTTAAATTGTTTTTGGTAGTTTGTTTCGAACTCGTTTTTACGGAGTACTCAAACCGGCCATAATTGAGGGTTGGGGCTAGCTAAGACTAGGTGTTACTCCTTATGGAGAGCTGGTTTAGATGATTGGTTTCAGGTAGATTCTAGGGTGCGGTCTTTGTAAGCATACTGAATCATGTTATGATTCAGGAGAACTCTTGGCATAATGAGGAAGCTGTTGGGATTTTGTCTTTGATTCTTTGTGTAACTTCATAAGAATTAGATAGGGTTAGAGTTCTATCATGATTAGGAGTTTGAGTTCTATCATGATTAGGAGTTTGAGTTCTATCATGATTAGGAGTTTGAATCATATTCTAATTAGAAAGTTAAGCTAGAGATAGGGTTTTGGTTTCCCTATATATATTCTTCTATTGGTGGAGGAAAAACTATAAAGAAAAAATAGAGATGTAGTAGATGAGAGAGAGAGAGAGAGAGAGGGTTTCGTAGTCTTTATCCGTGCAAAAGATTACAAGGAGTGAGTTTTTGAGAGAATATGAGAATTGATTATGTATGTGAGGTTGAGAGATTAGGAGACGAGAGTTGAGTGGTTCCTCTTGTAGTTCTCCCTGATACATAGTGAATTTCTCGTATTGTTGCCCCGTGGATGTAGCTCGAAGTTGGTCGACCGAACCACGTAAATCTCGGTGTTCTTTTTTCTTGATTGTGGTTGTTCTATCTTATTGATTGGGGTTGGCTTCCGAATTGCACATATCGTGGTAGGCGGGGAGACTAAAATTCCCCTACAGAAGCCACTTCATGAGAAGGAAGAGTGGATGTAGAATTGCTATCCGAGCCATTATAAAAAATCCCACATATTCCTTAGTTGGATTTTGGTTTGGTTGATCGCTATTATTTTCTATATTTCCATTGCATATCCTGTGTTTTAGCTAAAATAGTAGCAAACCTTTTCGCCCCTCTAGGCTTGCATCTCAAATCTAACAAGTGGCATCAGAACCTTGTTACTAATCTATAGGATTCACAACCTAGTGTAAAGATGTCTAGTTTGACCGCTATGACGACTTTTTGTTAGGGACACGTTGTGAACTGGCCCCCAATT